TTTGAGGGAAGTGTGTAAATCTGCTAGGTTAACTGGGACCACAGAGAGAGTAGGTGGCAAGGTGTATACCTACAGGGCTTGCGGGGAAAGCTGGACAGAGTTTCAGCTACTCCCCCTCTTAGCAAGACTCAGAATAGCACCTGCTTCCTCTCTGGTTCAGGTGTTCTTAAGGAGAGTTGCAAGTATTTAATTTTTTTTAAACCTTTAGGAAGCAATCTGCAACTTTTTTTCATTACTTTTTTAATGAATAAAGCCTTTTTATTTCCAAACAGAATTTGGAAACCTATTGAATTGAAATACCATTATTTTTGCAGTACTGTTATTAATACAGTAGCTGACCCTCAAACCCTTCCTTGGTACCCAGCACTGTGCTAAAGGCTCTTCGTTGTTCTTAACACTAGATTCTCACATCACCGTGTGAAGACGTTGTTATTATTGCCCAGCTTTTACAGGTAAGGAGACTGGTGGTTGGGAACCTGATGTCAGTTGCTTAAGGTCACATTGCTTATTAGGTGGAGTAAGTTGGGATATGGCTTTGAGCTCAGGCAAGGGATCTCAAGCATTGTGCTCTAATGTCTCTCAGAAGAGTGAGGAGGGCCGAACCTGTTCTGGGAAGTTTGCAAAGCAATACTCTAGACCTTCAGCGATGTGGTTTCCTTGGCCCAGCCTTGTGGAGATGACCCACCTTCTGCCTGAGCGTGAAGCCCTGCTGTCTCCATCTCCCACATGGCGAGCTTTGCCAGATCCCAGGGCATAACAGCTCCCGGTTATTCTCTACTTTTTACAGCAGCTCAGCCCAGCTATGTGAGTCTTGAGATTTGTGATCTGTTGTTTCAGGTTCCAAAAAATTGTAAATATGAAGTAAGTTTGAAAAACCAAAACAGAACATTTAAAAACATTCCTTTTGTCTTTCAGGTTATGAATCAGGAATAAATTCTTTTGAAGTTCTTAAAAACAAAAGGCCAAAAATAAACCGGGTTCTTCTCCAGTTCATTTCCTGCATTTGAAGGAAAGGACCCAGTTTGTTTTATTGTTGTTGGTTTTGTTTGTTTTTGTCTAGTGTCTAAGTTCCCTTTTGGCACCCTTTGACTTCTTTGCATACTTTTCTTGATTTTGAAGACTTCAGAGTTTGCTTTCTTTCTCAACCAGCTGAAGGTTCTGTATCCTTAGATAAGTTACTTAACCTCTCTGAGCCTCACTTCCATTAAGTGTAAGGTCAGGTAGACCTCCCAGGGTCCGTAGGTGTCAAAGTGAGTGAATTTGTATAATGGAATGGAACTGAGGAGATGCTCCACAACTGTGAGGCCTCCAGCCTCCTCTCATTATGTTTCTCCTGTGTGCAGAGAACTATGGCTATGGTAGGCGTCCTCACTGCTCATTGTAAATCATTGCTACACAAAAGGAAAATGAGTAGGAAGAAAGCATTTTTTGATCAGCTTCTTGACAAATCCACTTATTCATTCCCTGCTAATATATTGAGCAGCTGCCATTTGTCAATCACCATGTGAGGAAGGAGAGAAACACCAGCAGGTAGTGGACAAACCATCATTGCCATCAGTGTGACAGATCGTAACTACCTGGAGTGACAAATGCAGAGACATGGGTGAGCTCTGGCCAACATGGGGCATACAGAAGGGGCACTATCCAGTCTGGGAGACTATAGAAGGTTTTCAGGAGGAAGTGATGTCTTGGCTGAGAGCTGAAGGATAAGTAGGGCTCATTCAGTCCTTGCTGATCCTGCCCAGTCCAAATGATCTGTGAGTTGGATATTGAGTAGGGTAATTTCCAAAGAAGTATATTTTCTCTTGTACTTTAAGTGCTGACTTTCAACTCCAGTAGAAATTGACACTGTTTGGATTGGGTCTGTCTTGGTTCTGAAGTGTCCAAATGGGATAAGATGGGAAGAGAGCTCTTCAGGACGATGAAGCCAAAGATGGATTTAGGAAGGTGGGGAGTGAGTACCAAGAAGGTGGATAGTACTGCAAATCAAATTTTTGGACTTTCTTTGGATTTACCAAATGCACAGCCAGTATTTGATAAGTGTGAGGGGCAGCTATAAATGATTTATTTATTTTGCCAGGAGACACGTTGTGTGCCACCCATGTGCCATTTGATATGTAAGCCCTTGGAGTAGATACACAGATCCATGTAACAGGACCCCTGGCCTGAAGAAGCTCAAAATAAGGGGTAAAAGGATCTAAAATTTTCAGAATGCCTACAGGGCAGGCATGTACTTGGAAAATTCAGAACACTGTGTCCTCTGAGATTATTCTTTCTATTTTACAGATGTGGGTACTAAAGCTTAATTTAGCAGAGAGCGTGCCTGAGGTCTCACAACTGGGGGGGCAGAGGTGGGTAGTTGGGTTTTGAACCAAGTCTGTTACATCCCAAAGCCCTATTGTCTTTCTGCATAATAGGAGATGAGACAAGGCAATGCAAGAGGTAACCCCTTCTCCCAGGTATCATCTTTTTTTAAAAAAAAATATACATTGTATTACTTTTCCTACCTTTGTGCTCAGCACTTTTTAGCCTTATGGCCTGCTATCTCCTTCTATATCTGTCTGGGCTGGGCTGGTTTGAGGCCGCTAGACATACCCTCCTTTCCTGTTTGCCTCATACTTAAAGTATTTCTCCTTCTGAAATCCCAGCCATCAACCAGGACTACTTCTTCCACAACGCTTTCCAAGCCGCCCCCCTTGTGTTGGTTGTTATCATAACATCACACTTTTTAGGTACATATTTTAACTTCCATTTTTAGAATAATGATTCTTTCAGAGAGTGAATTTCAACAGTGCTATTATGGGGATTAGTGATCTATGAAGTGCTTGTTACTTGTAGGTGCTGAAAATGGAAGCTCTTCTTATTTTTGTCCATCTTTGATTATCTCAGTGCTCCCAGCAGTGACTTTGTATGGTTCTTGGCAAATGCTGGGGGAGTTCTGTGGAAGCCAACAACAAAGGTTGTCTTCTTCTGACCTTTGAAGGTACCCTCTGCTGATAGAATTAGTTGGGCTTCTGGTTCAAAGCCGGGGCATCCATCTGGCCTGACTGCCCCCTTCTCTTTGGTCTTTGCACACTCTCAATGGGTTATTTTTTGATCTTGCCTTAAGAGACTCCTTAGCCCAGTTTAGTAGACAGTAGTCTTAACAAGGGCTAAGGGCACAGGCAACACCCATAACACACTGTGGTCTATGCCTGTAGATAAATCCTCTGCCCTTGGCTACTGCCTAACGAGTGATTTGTTCCTGCTGACAGGGTCCAGGCACAATCTTTAGAGGGGGCACAAGACACTCTCTTAGGCACTCGGTTACTGTGGGGAACCACACAAGAATCTGCCTTTGTGGAGCTGACATTCATGAAGGTTATCTCATTTATTTCTTACCATAATGTCTTGAGAGAGGTTCTCTGATTATTCCCTCTTTATAGATGAAGAAACTGAGGTTTGGAGGGGTTAAATAACTGGTCTCATACTGTAGAGCTCAGTGCCAGAGTCAAGACTGGAACGCAGGGAGTTTGTTCTAAAGCCCAAGCTTTAACCCACTGTGTTAGTTGACCTTCCTCTCTTTATAGATGGTATAATCCAAACATAAATATCTTCATATATTTGCATAGTCTTATATGTATATATCTACATATGTGACTACATACATGTGTGAAATAATAGTAAAAATAGTAAATATAAAAGTAGTGATCCATTAATCTACTGCCCTGGGGTCATGGTTATCATTTTGGTGTTTCCTTTCAGATGCATATTTGGTGCATTAGGCAAGATCACCCTGTACGTTTCATGTTGCATGCTGTTTCCCTCACTTAACACTCAGCACCATTGTGCATATGTTCATTTGAACAGAGGTGTAACAGATCATAGTGATTCTGAATTTGAAAATCTATGCCCTTTTTAAAAAACGTGTGACAAATAGCTCTATGAGCAAATTAGTGGATTGGCTTCCTGGGTTGCAGTGACTGTAATGGGAATGCAGGTGTGGAACTAAGGACCACTGGGAAGCACTGTACTTTCTGGAGATGCTACCAGAAGGATGCATTTTCCTCTCCTAGTACTTACTTTCCTTGAATCCCATCCAGTAAAGAGCCTGTTCAAACTCCTTTAAGAGACTTCCAAGCCTGCAAAAAATGACACAAATCTGAAAACCATTGAGATGTTGGGATAATAAACTTGGTGGCCACTTCCCCTTGAATGCCACTATGACCTGGGTGAAATAGCCAGGGCCGATGTTATCTCTATTTGATAGATTAAGAAGCCCTATGCCCAGGAGATTTGTCCAAGGCTGAATAGCAGAAGTAGACTAGAATTCCAGCCACTTCTGTTCCTAGGGAAGTTTCTTCTAGGAACTAACCCACAGCTGCTGAGCCATTAGCAAGTTCCTACTGCTGCTCTCACCACTCCTTCTTCTAGACTTTCTCATTGTCCCTTTTCTCCTTTCTTCTCTGAAGAGCTTGTGTCTGATCTTAAGGCTTAGCTACATGATTACCTATTTTCATTGTAAAAGGCACATCCTTAAAGGGACTTCAGTGCTATATGGTGGAGGTAATAGTAATAATAGTGACAATACAAATAGCTAATGGTTATTGGCCATTTTATATGTGCCAGACAAAAGAAATGCTGTATGGGATCCTGCCCAGTTACTTCTCACTAAACCCATGAACCTAATAAATGGAGGGGCTGAGATTTGAAACCTTTAAAACCTGACTTCAACCCAGGTTCTATAGTGCTCTCAAAGGGGAAGAATGAATATAGGAAGGCAGAGCCCCTGAGCTCTTGGGATGCTATTTTTAAGTGTTAAGGCTGGTCATAGGCATCTGACCACAGTATCCCACAATAATCCAAAACTTTTAGCTGGGCTTTGAAACCCATAAGCCTCACAGAAAGAACCTCCCACAGAGTATTCCCCTTCGTGCCTGTCCCTGCTGAAGTTATCTTTTCTAATTCACTGCCTGCCACAAATTCTTTTCTGATGTGTGTTTATGCTTCTTTTCCTACAGGAGGAAATATAAGAAAACATCCCAGAGGTAAGAGTGTCTTTCTGAGAAAGGAGAGCTTGTTTGGTTGAGTCATTTGTGGCACAACTCTTCAGAAGCCTGGCTCACGGTGGACGTTCAGTGTAATGAACAGTCTCTTGGCTCGGTGCCTGCTTCATCTTTGGATCACTTCTGCTGCTGTAGTAAACATTGGTTGTAGACATTTAGTATGGTACCCTGAGTATCTATCTTCCCGTGAGAGTGGATCTGGTGGATGAAAAGGCCTGTTAACTATAGATCTGCCTATAGGAAGTGATTTTACTAAAATCTTGACCAGAGAGGGCCTGGGCTGGGAAGTGCTGAAGCTTTATGGATGGGAGCACAAAAGTATCTTTAAGCATTTGAATTCTCCTTTGCCTGCAATTCCTATTTGCCTCATTCTCTGATAAAATGTTGTTGAGCTCAAAGCATAGGTACAAATTCCTTTAAGGGCACTAATGGTCTTTTTTTTTTTTTTTTTTTTAACCATGGAAAAGGTAATTTAAAGTAGAATCATCTTTTATCATCCTCCATTACTTCATTTTATTGAGAAGAGTTGGGAAAGCACATTCCAAAGAAATAGAGTTGCTCAGATCTTTTGTTTGCCAAGCATTAGAAGCCCAGATTTCAGACTAAAAGGCTAGTGTCTGCTTTTCATTGATTGTATTTGATTTTGGTATTATGACATTAAACAGATTATATTCAGATAAAAAAAATCCCACCAATGTAATTAAAATCTGCCAGTCGGTTTCAGCAATGGTAGTTTCAGTCGGATGACCATTTTAATCTTACCTTTTCTCTTGAGCGTCATCTCAAGGTAGAGAGTCCTGTTCTGTGGTTTCCAAATAAAGTCAATAATCCACAGTAGTGTTGTTACTGTTTGATATGCAGTGTAGAGGTGCACACATCGTTGAGAGAAGATGAATACAACCTTAGGGTTTCCTAGCAGTTGCTATACTTTTCTAAATATAGTGAGCTTACACAGATGGCTAAATAATTCTGTCTTGTTCAGGTTCATTGGGTTCAGGGTAGTAATTGCGTGTGAACCACTGAACAGGATGTAAATTAATCACTCAGATTAGAGGGCGTAATAGTCATCAGTAGTAAAAGGTAATTTATCATTTTTACATGTAGTTAACCTGGGGTATGAAATAGTTCAAAGTTGCTTCAATTTTATTTGAAAAGAGATAAATAGACAGGTTAGAGGAGTTTTACAAGAGAGCAGCTCAAACCTGTCAAGTTTCAAATTACTATGTCGATTATTTTTGAAAACATATTTTTGCATATCTTACATGAATGCTGTCGCATTTTTTATTATGTCAATATAATAAAAAAATAGACTGTCTTGTTCCAGCTTCACTGAAGTCATGTAAAGTGCAAATTAATACAGGGTTGGTTTGGGCTCTTCTATTTTAAATCACATACATATTTCCTATGAAACTGATACATGTCTGCTAATCTCTCATTGATTACAAACCATCTCTAAACTTCTGGCTTGAAACAGCCGTTTTATTCTGCTTACAGTGATACGGGTCAGGAATTTAGGAAGGACTTGGCTGAGTGGTTTGAACTTGGTGCAGCTGGAGTGGGCTGCAGCTACTGGAGACGGAGGGTCCACTTCCAAGATTGCTTCTTCACGCACGTGTGCAGAGACTTGGTGCTCTTTGTTTCTTTCTCTCTTTGCACGTGGCTTTCATCCTCCAGCATGGAGCTTGGGCTTCTCAGTGCATGGTGGTCTCAGGGTGGTTGCACTTTTTGCTGCCTTCCTAGGCCCTATGTGTTCCAACAGACAGGAAGTGGAAGATGCTGGTCTCTTCATTACAACTTGGGTGCAGAAACTGGGGCAGTGTCACTTCTGTATTTTACTGGTGAAGGTATTACAGAACCCACTCAGATTCAAGAGAAGGGGACATAGATTATAGCTCTTGATGGAAGGGTGGTTACAGAAGTTGAGACTGTCTTCATTTACCAAACCTGTACCCTTTTTCAGATGATCTTGCTTGAGAACTTTTCTGGGGATCTGTAAATTTGGATGAAGTGGATACCTCATTTGATAAATGGTAGACACTTTTAAAGATGTCTTGATATCTCTGTCAGATGCTGGTCTGTTTGAATATACCCTTGTCTATTTGGTGATTCATTTGGACTGAGGGGAGCTGTAATTCCTTTTTCATGTTAGGGGCAAACATGCCAGTGTAAACTCAATGGGCTATTTGAATGCTAAGTGTCGTTATTTGACTTCAGTTAATAATTAGTCAGATAAACCTGGTGGCTTCATGTAGGGAAACTAAATGTTATATTAAAAAGCTTTCGATCTCATAGGTTTGCTTTGGACATTAGAAGAAAGAGAGTCCAGGATACAAAAATAATCTACCTTTGTTTAAACTTCTTGTGCTGGGCTTCATTTCATTTCACTTATGTATTTATTCACCTTTCAAAGCTGTGTTAAAGAAAAAACAAATCCTCTGGCTATCAAAGTCATCATCATTCTACTATACAGCTCAACTGAGGTAGGTGTCATTCTTTAAATATTTTATCAAGTACTAGGCAGATTTCAGTAGCCCAAGAGTATGTTATGATAGTGATTCTTCTGAATATCACTGTTAATATTAAAGGAAATGTACTCATTTCTTCCAAGGCCAGAATTTCAACCAAAAGAATGATGTTATAAAAACCCTTTACTGGGTTAGCAAGGGCACCAGTAAGTAGAAGATAAGATTCTCCCTGCACAGAAGCCCTTATTGGATTAGGCTTTACGTCAACACAATTAAGGAGAGCCATCCTTTTGCCTTGTGATTGAGTCTTGTCCATGAGGGCCAGTCATTCCAAGAGATTTGTTGAAGTGGTGACATGGTAATTTGACAGCTAGAGAGGATTACCCAGGAGAACTGCTTCCCCCTAAAATTCTCATCAGGTTGTTTTTAAATAGCAGCAACTTCAAGTTATCAGGTCTGGCTCTGAGAAGTTTGTATCTTTGAGAAAGAATGCCAGATCATGTACAAAATAATCACAAATACTTAGAAATAATCAAATACTTCTGGGCTGCCACTAAAGAAAGGATTTGCTATCAGAGATGGTGTTGTAAGCTGAATCTATGTTAGAAGTGTTTCCAGCACACCCACGCCCACACACATACACACACTCACACCTCTATTTTAGTGTGCCTGGAAATGCTGAGGTTGGTCAGCATAATCAGAGGCAGAGGTACAAATAATGATTTATCTACAAACCTCAAGGACCTCTGCAGACTCATGTGCAGTTTTCGTGTCTGGACTATGGAAATACTTAGGTCAGATGGTTAGGAGTTGGAGTTTTAAGCCACATCAGATAGTGAAAACTTCATTAGAATAAAGGTTTTTGATTTATCAGGTATAAATTCTAGGTTGGTGGGTGGGTTTGTTGATTGCTTGGTAGATTGTGAAATCTTAGTTAAGTTTAGATAGTGTAAGAAGTTCTGGCTCTGACTATATCTGATTTACTCATTTTATAAATCTAGACATTTCTGTGATGAGAAAACTTTTTGATAATCTAATCAGATTGATAGTCACATGTATATACGTTTTGACTCCCACAAAACTTAACTACTAATAGCTTATACTGTTGACTGCAAACCTTACCAATAATATAGTCAATCAACACCTACTTTGTATGTTATATATATTATATGCTGTATTCTTAACTTAAACTGAGAGAAAAGAAAATGTTATTGAGGAAGTTACAAAGAAGGAAAAACATTTATAATACTGTATTTAACTAAAAAAAAGATCTGTGTGTAAGTGGACATGTGCAATTCAAACTTGTGTTGTTCAAGGGTCATCTGCACAAGAAATTGCCTGTGAATTGTGACGCAAGAGGTACATGGTTTTGTAGTTAAGATATATGTGAAAAGCAAAATAGAATGTGGTACATGCTATAATAGATCTGAGTACTGAAGGTCATTGGGAACAACTGGGTCATTTGGGAAGGTATTTACATTATTATATACTCTTCTCTCACTAGACCACAAAAAGGGCTATAGTGTTGCTTCTTATACACGGTGCTTGGAAGTATGGGCATATTAAAGTCTAATAGGATAGCTGAGAATTGTTTCTCTCTGTTTTCTCCATGTTTTCATTTATCTTAAAGCTGTATGTTTTGCTGTTTCTTTAGGCTTTCTCTCAAAGGGGCAAATGTCTCAAAAACATTATGGACATTAGGAGGAAGACAGCCCAGGATAAAAACACGTGGAGATAATCGGTTAAGTGGATATCGCCCATGTAGATAACAGAGCGGCCTCTATCTGTTGCCAGGCAAAATAAGGAGTTATTTTTTCCTCCAAGTGTCTAATGCCTTCTTTCACTTGGATTTTTATGTGACTTAGTAATCACATTTGATGAGGCCAATAATTGATTAAATCCAGCGAATGATTCCCTTAGTCAGGTCTGCCTGTGCTGTCACGAATCAGCATGCTTAATGAGTCATCAGTAGAACCACCACCTTTGCAGTTAAGAATAGATTGTCGTGTGTGTGGTGGGGGTGGGGTGGGGTGGCAGAGGGGGTGGGAAGTGGATCTTACCCTCTGGGAAGGCTGCCTTCAAAGCAATTGTATCCTTGTATGAGCAAGTGCATCTTCTGCTGAGCTGTGCCCCTTTCTCATTCTGGGACATAGTAAGACTCATTGGTGAATTCTGAAGCTCTCTCAGCATCGCAGACATAAAATCAGTGGACTGTTGTCTCTTATGCAGTGAAAAATGACAGTCAGTTGAAGGGGATATAGGATAAAGCAAGGCACATAGTTTCGCATACTTATGAGTGCCCAATTTTGCGTACTCCTACTTACTTAGTAGTGTTGATATTTAGAGCCTGATTATTAGTAGTAAAATCAGACAAGGGAAACTTCTAAGTGGTGAAGTCCTTTGAAAAATATTTTCCTGTATTTGTGATGATTATGAAATTCTCAGAGTAGTAAGGACATGTGCATCAACTGTGAGAATATGTCCAATTTACATTCCAAGATTGCCAGCTGAGTCGAA